TATCAAATTCTGAATATGGAAAACTAGCATCAAACTTAAATTATAATTGAAAAAGCTTTAAAAGTAAAAGATTTAATAATTGCCATTGAGTAAAGTGATTTAACATATAAATATAGCCGTGGAATAGTTATTCATTCTATAAGAAAGCTAGATTTCAAGGGAATTCATATTTTCCTATTAAATGGTTAAATAATATGAGGAATGGAGAATCAGACAAACTCAATCATAGATACTTCTTACAGTCGTATAAAATTTTACCCAAAAGTTTTGGATATTTTGAAATTAAATGAAAATATGTTTATGTTTCTCTCTAATTATGGCTACATTTATTTGCTAAGTACTGCGCATGAAGGATATTCCAGTTGTCAGTGCTTTAAAATTTAAGTACGTAAAAACATTTTTAATGCTTGCCTTATTACCAAAGGGAATAAAAAATATAAATTTGCATTTGGATCTCAAGAAGAAGGGGTTAAATTTGGCATAATTTAAAAAATAGGCCATAAAAAATACAAATTTATTTAGGAGTATAGTAAATTTATTAACACAGGTGATATTAATTCAATCACATTAGTGGATGAGGATAAAATTGGAGTTGTTGATACATCTGAAATGGAAAATAGATTTATGATTTATGACATAAAAAAATGATTTTGCATCATGAAGGTTGGTATATCATATTAAAGCTAAATATTTCAAATTCAAGGATATCACTTTAAATATAATCCATTTGCTCTTACTATTTTAAGAGTTTAAAATAAATTTTAATACATGAATATGAGGAACTTAGAGAAGTTTTTTTTAGATGACTATACAGAGTGTGAAAAAACTAATGAAAAATTTGTAATGATACAAAAACGATTTCAAAATTCTAATATTTACGAAGAATAAATATTATTCTAATTTCCAAGTTGTAATATAACTTTTTTAATAATATAGGTTATTTAAAAAGAGCTATATCAACTCATAAATGTGATATCAAAGCCATAAAATGAAGAAAACCAGAAATTACTAGTAAGGATTCTCTAATTACTAAGTTAATCTTTATAGATTATAAAATGAATGAAGGTTTAATTTGAAATAATTCAGAATCTGATAAAGCTTTCAGTTATGAGTGACTCTTTGACTTAAATATGTTTTAAAATCCTTGATTTATCTAAGACTTATTATCCTAGTTTAATAATATATATCTGGCACAGAGAAACTATAATACATGTATGGATAAGGGGTTTTGGGGTTTTGGGG